TACGTTTCTTTTACGACGTTACAAATTGCCTCAGAAATATAGTTTAGCCTAACTTCTTGAATAGTTGTCGAACTTCTATTCTCTAGCTTCATAACTCGTTCATGACTTTCATTCTGAACATTGTGAGCTCAGTGCGTATTCAATATAGACTTGGGTTTAATGCCCCCGAGTCTTAGTATAGATTACTCAGTATTCCATAAACAGTTGAAGTTTCAGTGTTCATAATCAGTTCAAGAAAACATATCTCAGTTTAGTCCTATTCAGTATTTCAGTATTATGTAACTTAGTATGCCAGTATCATGTGACTCAGTGTGATTCAGTATTTCATTATCATGTATTGCAATATGATTCTCAGTTCCTGATTTTAAATCCCTGATTGTTGAACACCTATATTTGGGGCTAAGGCCGCAGTTTATGCTTTATGTATCATTGGGCCTGAGGCCACAGTTTATGCTTTATGCATCTTTGGGCCTGAGGCCGCAGTTTATGCTTTATACATTTTGGACCTGAGGTCGCAGTTATGTATACGTATACTTGGGCCCGAGGACGCAGTTTGTGCACATATATATATATTGGGCATGAGACCGCAGTTTAATATTCAGATAAACGGGTTGTTCATCATTCAGAAAAGGGAGTATTCATATCCTTACTTCCTTTCAGTTCAATTATTAGTTACCGTTCAGTTATCAGTTATCATATCAGTTACCAGTTACCAGTTATCAGTTATCATTTTAGTTTCAGTTTCAATAGTAATTATTTCAGTTGTCAATTATAAATTCTCAGTTATCAGCTTAGTTTCAGTTTCAGCATTTATAATTCTTTCTTTCAGTTGCTTTACATACCAGTACAATTCAAATGTACTGACGTCCCTTTTGTCTGGGGCCTGCATCTCACGATGCAGGTAATGACTTACAAGTTGATGATTCAGAATGCTAGGATTCTCGTACCAGCTACTTGGTGATCCCCAGTTCTTCTGGGGCATTATCATTACTTTACAGTCTTTCAATATTTACAGACAGACAGTGTTTTCAGTACTTTATTAGAGGCTTCATAGACTAGAGTGACAGTTAGACAGAGTCTCAAGTTTTTCATGTTAAGCTGTGTATGCTACAAATACGTTTCAGAAATTGTATTAATATTTCCATACTTTGATTTATATCCTTCAGACTTTCAGTATATCAGTATGTGTTAGTTTATCTTCCGTATTCCGTATTCAGTATGTTATGATATCACATGTTGATTCAGCTAGCCAGTTGGTTCGCTCGGTCACATGTAGTCAGGCACCGAGTGTCGTATTATGTCCAGACCCAGGTTTGGGGCGTGACATTAAGAGGGTCGGTAATAGCTTTCTCAATGTATGCTTTTGTGTTCTTGAAGTTGATGTCTTTTGCGCTTCCCATAAAATCCGGTGCATGACAAAAATAAAGGGATAATAATAGAAAACTTGTCGACACAAGATTCAACAATAGAGTGATTGTGTGAAGAGACCATGGAATCATACGCATAAAGACACCTTTCTGCAATGTCAAAAACAACCAACACCCAATGGAATTTTTCTACAATGTTGACGGGCATGATGATATAATCAACTTCATCCCATGCAATATTTGCGAGTAGTCTATACCCCAATATATATTCTGCTACAACGTCCTAGGGTTTGACAACAAAAAACTTCTTTTCTTGAGGAGAATTTTGGAACTTTTCATAAATCTGATCAATCCTAGTCTTGAATACACAATCTGTTGTAGTAAACCTGGTCTTGTTGTGGGGGTCATACTTGCCTCTTTTTCTCAAGTAATACATTATAAAATTAATGTGCTGCAACAAAAACATATTGCATTTATTCTACAAGTTATCTTCAAATATTCTACACAAAACTACAAAATAACTACAATTCATATACAATCAGAATACAAAGCATCTATCATTCAGAATACAAACTATCTACAAATTATCTACAAAAAAATTTACAAATCAAATACATTGAATCTTACCGAGTCATTGAGGACTTGTCCTGGGTGTGCTAGGGAAAAGAACCACTCCTTATTGTCAACCTTTTCAACTCCAAGATCCAACCATGATTTAATTTGGTTGTCCTTTAGAGAATACGGAGCCTTCCTCCTATATAAACAAATAGCAATTAAAATAAAATTGTTGAATCAAGTGGATGTGTAAAAGATGAATACTGGAATAAAAGTGTCAAATTGTGTAACCTAACCTCTTTGAACCTGTGTCAATACTGTGGTATAACCACTTGTGGAATTGATCCAACAACTCAAGGTCTACATTTTGACCAATAACACTAGTAAATGGGTGCTTGAGGTGAAAATTTTGAGGTCCAACCAAGGTGCTGCCACCATAATTGTATAAAGAGAGAAATGGTGATCGGGCATACTTTCCCGACTGCCTTGTTCTACCTTGATGCACGGGTGTTGTTTCATCTTGTATAAGCTCGCCGAACTTAACCAACTGGGAGAAGTTATCAGGCAGCTCAAAATCATCAAGCGTAATCTCTTTCTTCTCACCTCCGGATTCTTCTGAATCACCTACATTCACATACTCTGTCTCTTCACCTACATTGTCATCTTCGGGATTCTGCTGTTCTCTTTGAGCTGCTACTGTCACTCCGTAAATTGGAGATTGTGCATGCATATTTTCCCTCTCTGTAACACCATGTATATATAACTTAATAGAATGGTAAAAATATTAAAACATAAAGAAAATATCTCTGAAAGCAATTTCATAGCTGCATTCTCTTCATCAACTGTCCCTTCAAAATGTGTATATAAATCAACATGTGCTGGATGATTTTCTTCACCAAGTGCACATTCAGCATGTTTTGTTTTTTCATTAAAAAATGTTAAATCATACTGGATAGTATTGGCTTGACAATTTATGAAGATATGAAGGTGTGTCATAATATCTATATAAATCTGTAGAGATGTGCCAATATGCTAGATCAGCAATTGTATATATTATGTATATATAATGTAGACAAATTGTAGTTATGTTGTAGATAACTTGTAGATATTTTGTATATATTCTGTAGATAATTGTAGATAAACTGGAGATATATTGTAGATACCTATTTTCCTGGGGCTGACCTGCACTAGTTCACTACTATTGAACTGAAATTGCTGATTGTTCTTGTCTTTTGGTTGGTCAGTATTTTTGGTTGAATTACCAGCAAACTGTAAGTTTTATATTAGTTAGGATTTATATTTTAGAGGTGACATATATAGTTTTGTTAATATGATTAAAATTCAAATGTTACCTTTGCATCAGCTTGATCATTTGGACTGTTTATCACCTGCAAAACAGTCTTGACTGAATCCTTTATTAGGTCTCGAAAGCTACCTAGTTCTTCAACTACATAATTATAAAAATACATAGTTAACTTCACAAATATGTCTTAAAATACATTAAAAACAGATACACTATTATATATACATCACAATTCTTTTTAGGACTACATGTTACCTTCTCAACACCTCTTTTTAACTTTGTTATTTTACGAAGAATCCCCCCTTTTTCCTCTTTTCCAATTGATTCTTTGGGTTCCAATGGAGGAGCATCAACTTTTGGATTCTCAGAAACATGTTCAACCTCTTCAATTATGTACTCAACTTTATCAGACAAAGACATCACTGAAAACTCTTCAGGTGATTCATTTATGTTGGTGAACTGAATGATGAAAAAAATAAATTAGCTTGTTTAAGGAAGAATATGTATACAAATTATAGATATTTTGTAGATAAATTGTATTATCATAAATAAAGACCATTTACCTTCATCCATTCAGGCTTGATCATTTTGTCTTCAATTGCAGCTACCCAAATCTGACCCTTAGTAGCTGACCAGTTGTGTATGCGAGGGATTGAATTAGAAATCCTTGTAGCTATATCAATGTTGACGGAGGAGCAACACTTATACAACCATACATGCATGGCTAGTGGGAATCCTCGAATGAGATAAGAATGAATGAAAGAATTTAGCCTGTGCCTAACTGATTCAATCAACTGTCTGTAAGACTGAATACCCCATGGAAATGGCTCGTACTGATCAGATTTCACCCAACAAAACCTAAAATGATCTACCAACCCAATATGGTCTCTCTCTGAAAGACAAATGAAGAATTCTATGAGATACAGAATACATAACTTTACTGCATCCTCATCATTGACCCAGCTTTTATTGGTTACTATCTGTTTTAGGTATGTCTTCTCCACTTTTACCTTGTTTGGAAAGTAACTGCTCATTATCTTACTGACATAATTAGGAGTGTAACCAAAGTCTGTCACCTCAGTATGACATCTAAGACCAGTTACTACTGCAAACTCTCTCAATCCAAAATTTAACCTCTCACCTTTTAACTCAACTGAAAAATAGGAAACATCGGATAATTTCAATTCATACTTCATAAGAAGATGAATAGCTTGATTTTGCATGCATAAATTGGGAAATGACAGTAAATAACCAAAGCATGTCTTCTTGAACAGCTTCAAACCATTTGGAGACAAAAACGCTTTAATTTGGCTAGGAATACTAGGGTCACATAATGTCTGGAATCTAAGCACCCAATAATCAACATTCATTACAAGAAAAAGCCTTATTAGAGACCAACATTTAATGACGGGGTTCGAATGTGGTCCCTAAAAGTACCATAGTAGGGATGAGAATATATGCTCGTCCTTAATTCTCTAATTTTTCATTAAATCAACGAAGAGAATTAAGTCTAGTTCATAAAAGGGTTGATATCTGGTCACAAAAGAGTAACTTTTTGGCGCAAAAAAGAGGTGACATGCCAAACTACATTTATCTATGTGAAGATAGCGGTCTTTTTTGTGCATCCCTTGTGGATACCTTTGATAATGTTGTATCTGTTATGCTTACATCCAAAAAAAATTGTAATTTGGGGAAGATAGGTTCGTGCTTTCGATTCCTCGTTTTGCCCTTGCTCCTGGCTTTCGATTCCTCATTTTGCCCTTGCTCCTGGCTTTCGATTCCTCATTTTGCCCTTGCTCCTGGCTTGACGCCGTTAGAATAAAATATAAGAAAATTAACTTGACATCTTTATCTTTTCCAAGGAAATAAAGAAAGCTTAGCTGGCTCCCACTCACATCTCATCTCTCTCAAATCCCTAAATCACTTCCATAAACCTAAGTCTGCAGATTTCCCTCAAAGGCTATGAACGACAGCATGTATACTAAAATCAGAGCTATATATTTCTACTCTTTCACTCTTTCATCTCTGTCACAGTAGGTTTGAAACCCGTTTGTGCAGGTTTGGGGAGAAAATCAAACTAGGAATGGACGACTATCTTACCCAAAGTAAGCACACTTTATTTCTCTATATATATCCTATGAGACAATCTTTACTTATTACTCCTCATCTGGGTTTTTGTTATATCTAGCTTTTCTAATGTATTTTTGTCTTTGTGCTTCTATTTTGTGGTTGCTCAGCAAGATTTTGTACAATCAGTTTCTTTTCAAGATTGTGTTTTCTTGCGTGTCCTCTTTTTGAATTGTTTGTAAAAGCCTTTTCCTTGTTTCATTTTCTTTTAATTAGTTCTTATCTTCTATACTCTGTTCAGCATTTTTTTTGCAGTTAGTGCTTAGAGGAACTCCCCCTTTTTATATGTAGTTTGGATTAAAGATATGTCGTCAATTGTTTATCTTCCGTAAAAATAGATCTTCATTTTGTTTAGATTGTTTATTAGTGAATTCCTATGTTTTAATCCTTTTTGTAGCAGGAATATAGTGTTGAATTTTAGACAACCTTTTAGCTTTTGAAAACATAATGTAATATTTAGTTGGGTTTTTTTCATCTTCTTTAACTTTTAGTGAGTCTAGTATATATTGGCTTAGTTTTAGAAAGTCTTGTTTGTGGCTTGCTAATGAATTTAGCATTTGGAGTATTTATGGCTCATTTGTAACTCAACAAAATGATACCTAACAACTCTATTTTCAATCAGCCGCATTTTAGTTCTATCGTTGTAGTCGAAAGTAAAAAATTTCAGAATCGAGTGTTTGACTTTAGTGCATTCATTTTTAGATAGTTTTATTATCTGTCCTTTTCTTATATTAGTACTAAGACCGTCAGTGTTGGGTTAGAGTCAAGTTTTCACTTAATTCAATTCACAAGCATGTAATAATATAACTATAAACAAAAAATATATGGAATGAGTAACTAGTACACTAGTTGATAAGTGTTGAACACAGAAATTATTTGTTCCTTTTGTTTTGACAATTAATTTACAGCTTATCTCATTCTTGTGGTATATTATTACTTTTAGATTCTTAAATTTAATCATTGATTAATAATTTATTAATTCTAGCTCATTGCTATGAAGGTTATGTCCTTCTAATGACCAGAGAAATTGTTGATGAGTAACAATTAGTAAACTAGTTGATCAGTGTTGAACTGAGAAATTGTGTGTTCTCCGTTTTCACAATCAATTTGCAGCTTACATTCTCGTGGAGTATTATTCGATTAGTCTAAAAGGTTATGTGCATTTTAGAGTACTTTCATGTCCTATATCTTTTTTCTAATTTGATTCTTATGTAACCTCCAGTTTAATGTGAAACAGTCAAATACAGTAAATGGAGTCAGATCCACTGTGGATGCTACCAAATATGGCTTTCTTTCACCATGTGCCAAAGTAATGCTATCATTCCTTAAGTGTTAAAATTATCTATTTTTCCGAATTTTCTGTTACAAAGTTGATATCGGCTGCAAATTAAACAGTGTAAGGCTTAGAAGTCAAGCTACTCTTTGGCATTTAAAAAGTCTAGACTTTAATTAGTTAAAAGAAATAAAAGGTAATGCTACTATGTGCTAACAATACAGAGAGACATACCAGATATGGCTGGTGACAACTGTGATATTTCTGGATGATATTTAAGTTTTTCAATAACTTAGTAATTTTAAGTGCACATAGCTTAATGTCCCCAGTCATATATTTAATTATTTATTTATGCTTATCAGGTAACTGAAAATTTGGTGATAATTATTTCCAAAAGTGATACATACTGAACTATGTTATGGCAAAAATATAGCAAACCCCAGGTTAAGCTAGGTCATGTGTTATTTTAGTTCTGTAATATAACTTTCTTTGATGTACTCCTTAATCTTATTTGGACTGCCCATTGAAGGTTACCATTCTTAATGGAATCGTCATGGGAGGCGGGGCTGGTGTTTCTGTACGTGGTAGATTTCGAGTTGCAACAGAAAAGTCGGTATTGCCTGTACTTGAAGTAGATTTTATCTTGTTGTCTTCTTTCCCTTTTATATTTGATCTTTGCCACATTCTTTGGCATTTTCTTGAAATTTGTCTCTTTATGTCCTTTCATATGGAGTGCAGCAATATATGAATGTTCCAGTAGAATAACACTAGCCAAATAAGAGCAAAACCTTACAAATTGTATATTTTCATGAGCTTTAGGTGGTACCTCAGATTTGCATTGAAGATTACACATAACCCTTTTTCTAACTTGATGTTTGTTGATCTGATACCAAAAATTTCATGTCCAACATATTCTTATGTTTTTTTGCATGTAGGTTTTTTCCATGCCCGAAATAGCTTTGGGATTCTTTCCTAATATAGGTGCCTCTTACTGTTTATCAAGACTTCCAGGATTCTTTGGTAATTTCACTTGCCACATTGTTTATATTTCTGAAGGAATTTACTGCTGTTGATGTAATTCATTCAAGTGTCAGTGTGAAGTTATTTGCTACTTGTCGTTGGGAATTAAAAGTCACTACATGGCTGCTCACTAGTTTAGGCTATTTTAAGAGCAATGGTCAGCTCAGCTACTTTGCATTAAATGCTGCTTCTAATTCCCCGATATCCTTGAAATCAAAAGTAAGAAAGAGTCAGAAACAGTAAATTGATCCTTAGTTCCTGCAGAAGGGGTTCAAAAGCTTGTGATACACACCTTTTGGTGCATCTTCTCTTATAGTTTTCGAATTCTCTGGACATTCTTTTTATCTGTTTTCCACCATTATTCATTCATTGATCATATGTTTCCTCACTTTAAAAGTAAGTTTGCACTCATTATATAATCATACTTACTTTTCACATGAAAGTCTCCAAAATATATTTTTGCTACAAATATTTGGACAGTTAGCTGGATGTCAGCCTTAGGTTTCACGTGATGGCTGAATTTGTCAAGTTTAAATTATTACAAATATCAGCCCTTGCTTTCATATGAATTTCTTAGATTATTACAAATGTTAGCCTTTGAAGACATGTAAAAATCGTGACACGTTTGAATGAATGATACCGATTTTATCTAGAGATATGATCCTTTTTTCCCCTGATTTCTTTATTCTGATTATGTTGCTATTATTGGGGAGGGCTAATTCCTATGTTACCATGATGCACATAGGATTTGTAGGTACAAATGTTAAGTCTCGTTCTTTCTCAACAACAAAAAAAAATCAAATGTTAAGTCTCATTTCCCCTTGGCTTATTTCTAATTTCTTGTACTCTTTGGCAGGGGAATATGCTGGTCTTACTGGTGCTAGGTTGGATGGTGCTGAAATGCTTGCTTGTGGTCTAGCAACCCACTTTGTATCATCGACGGTATATTACCTTAATTCTCAGCATGTTCTGTCCATTTTCGATTGCTTCTATTGGAAATCAATGGCTGTTACTAATATGCGTATGTAGCTAAGTTATATTTGCAGATCTTAAAAAATCCCATTAAAGTAAAGATTGGTTACTTTACATTCTTCAGCCAAAGAATAGAAAAATATCAAGTTTTTCAAGTTTAATACCTTATTTTAAAGTATATTATGACAATGATCTATGTATTTACGCATTAAATTTGCTCAAGGGCAAAGCTTATACTGCTTTAGCATGAAACATAGTTGTGCTTCTGTCAAGATTTGTGATTTTTACCTTTAGCCAAGAAATTATTTCATAATTGTATTTAACATTTAAACCCGGGATAGTAGATAAAATTATCCTTGAACATATTTCCCAAAGGTCTAAATCAATTTTTTGTGTTCATGCAATCCCTTTTACGTTGCCATTTAACTTTTGTAGGGTAGATGACCACACTTGATGAATTTTGGTAAGTAGGTTGATCATTATTAGGGTAAAATTATACAATATTATTGTCACGACCCTAAACCCGAATCCGATCGTGATGGTGCCTCTCGTGAAGACAAGGTCAGCCAATTATACCCAATTCACTTTTTAAACAGTTAAATATCATAAAAGCAGTCTAAAACATGATATAACAACACTAAGTAGCGGATAATGTCAATAAGGTGCGGAAGTATAACCCAACACAGCCCTAACCGGGGTGTCATAAGTCACGAGCATTTACTAGGGTATAAATACAACTGAAAGCTTGAGTGTACAAATACAGACTAATGAATGAAGAAAGAGAGAAGCAGTGATGCTAACGCCGGTAGCTAACTTGCTAAACTCCGATGACTCTGCCACCGATCAGCCAAAACCCACTACCGGGTGCATAAATACCTAAATCTGCACACAAGGTGCAGAGAGTAAAGTGAGTAGTCCAACTCAGTGAGTAACAAATATAAATAATGGCTGAAAGCATGAAAACACGTAAAGGCACAAGGCAATTCTATATCAAAGCAGTAAAAATCACTTAAAGTAGTAAATTCGTGAAGAAATCAAGTTAAATCCCTTTTTAAATAAGTAAAATAGGTAGTTTGGCAGGTAAATAACAAGTAGAAATCCGCCCCTCGGGCACAGTATCAATCACTTAGAACAGTATCAGCCCCTCGGGCTCACTCTCAGTACAATATCAGCCCCTCAGGCTCACTCTCAAATCATGATGGGTACCCGCGCTCACTGTGTGGTGGTGCAGACTCCGGAGGGGCCCCTTACGGCCCAAGCGCAATATCAAGCCATCTCGTGGCAATAAAAAGTATCTCAGGCCCTCGGCCTCATATCACTCAGCATATCCTCACATATGGCCCTCGGCCTCACTCAGTCCGAAAATCATCACAAGCCCCTCGGGCATTAGTAAAACAGTAGTTCTCAACCCAAAATATCATTTAGAAATATCATTTAAGTTTGAATATGAAATAAAGTGGCTGAGTTTGTAAAACAGTAAATATCAACAGGACTGAGTTCAAGTAATAAGTCAAATAGTGAGGAATTAGTGATAAAAATTCCCGGAGGGTTCAAATAGTTGGCATAAAGCCCAAATATGGCAATCAGCCCAAATCATGACGATAACAAATAAGTTTTAATCAAATACGCGGTAAAGTCATCAATCGGGATGGACCAAGTCACAATCCCCAGTAGTAAAAGACCCCACGCTCATCACTCATGCGCGTGTCTCACCTCAATACAACACTACGATGTGCAATTCGGGGTTTTAAACCCTCAGGACATCATTTACAACCATTACTCACCTCGAACCTGCTAATTCTCTAGCTCGCGATGCTTTGCCCCTCGAATTGGCCTCCACGCGCGTCGAATCTATCCAAAATCAGAACAAATACGTCACAATATGTTAAGGGAACAAACCCGAAGCGAAAATAATCGAATTACCACAAAATTTCAGAAATTGGTCAAACCCGACCCTCGGGCCCACATCTCGGAATTTGACAAAATTCACAAAACTAGAATCCTTATACTCTCACGAGTCTATCCATACGAAAATTATCCAATTCCGATACCATTTGGTCCTTCAAATCATCATTTTATATTTTTGAAAGATTTCACAATTTTCTTCCCAAATTCCATCCCAAATCACGAATTAAATGATGAATTCAATGATAGATTCATGTACTCTAGCCAAATCTGAGTTAGAATCACTTACCCCGATGAATTTCTTGAAAAACCTTCAAAAAATCGCCAAAATCCGAGCTCTCTATGTCAAAATATCAAATAAAACCCAAAACCTCGTATTTATAGAGTACCCCACAGATTTCCGCCTCCACGGGCCGCACAAAATCGACCGCGGTCCGCACAAAACCAGTGCGGTCCGCACAAAAACGACCGGGGCCGCACAAGCTTTTCTCTACAGTGACAGACTTTAGTCTTTTGGCCATAACATTCGCTACAGATGTCCAAATTGCGATATCTTTACATTTCTGGAATCTAGACACGAAGGGCTACACCTTTCGTTTTTGAATCATCTTAAAATTCCTTGTAGATCAAAAGATATGAGCTTCCGAAGTAGGACCAGCGAAATGTTCTTCACCGCGGCCGCATACCATTTTGTGCGGTCCGCACAGCACCTACCGCGGCCGCACACCATTTTGTGCGGTCTGCGCGGGTGAGTGCCGAGACCTGCAACCTTTCTGGACCTGCTACAGCTATGATTTTCGGCCTAAAACATCCCGGAACCTACCCGGAACTCCCGGAACTTCAAACCAATTGTACCAACACATCCCATGACATCGTTCAAACTTGTTCAAAACTCCAGAACGCTCTCAACAACATCAAATCACCAATTTAACATAGGATTCAAGCCTAGAAACTCCAAGAACTCTTAAATTATGCTTTCGATCAAAAAGTCTATCAATCTCGTCCGAATGACCTGAAATTTTGCACACACATCCCAAATGGCACAACGAAGCTACTGAAACTCTCGGAATTTCATTCCGACCTCTATATCAAAGTCTCGCCTATCAACCGGAAAACGACGAAATCTCAATTTCGCCAATTCAAGCCTAAATCTTCTGTACAACTCCAAAACCCATTTTGATCGCGCTCCTAAGACAGAAATCACCTAACGGAGCTAACCAAACCGTAAAAATTCCAATCCGAGATCAAATACACACAAGTCAAATCTTGGTCAAACCTTTCAAATTTTAAGCTTCCATTGAGACTGTTCTTCCAAATTAAATTCTGATTAACTTGAAACTCAACACCAACGATTTACATAAGTCATATTGCATAACACGGGGCAAGTCATGCCCGAGAACTGGAGAGAAAAATGCAAAAGCTCAAAACGACCGATCGGGTCGTTACAATTATTTAACCAATCATCTTGTTGATCTTTATTGGTTTTTCTGAAGATATTTTAATACTTGTTACAGGTTTTGGAGATTGAAGTTTGCAGGTAAAAAAGCTTATTTGGAGGAAATATAAGTTGACTCTCATTTTGCTGGGAATTTGTACTTTGTATAATGTCTAGGGATGTTAGCTAGATTTTTTTTTTTTTTTTTTTTGTTGCAGAAATTGTGTAACAATATTGTGATTGCTTAGTTACATTATACATGTAAATGGCGCCATTTAATTGGCATGTTAATCAATTTTTGTAAAACAAAATTTATCTCTGTATTATCTTATTGTTATTAGTTTTTTCTTTTATTTTCTTGTTATAGATTGAATTTAACAAGCACAAGAATGAAATAATAAAAAATTAATGTGGTTCCTAAAATTATTTTAGGGACCAGAATAACTAGTCGCTAAAATATTTAACAACCAAATTAATGTGTCCAATATATTGTATTTTGAGACTAGAAATGTGATGCCTAAAAGTATTTTAGGGACCAGGATTCAAACTGGTCTCAAATGAAATTTTAGGACAAGACCCCAATCTCGTCGCTATTGACTTTTAGCGGCGGAGGCTATAGCGGGTGGCGACCAAATATTTCTGGTTGCTATTGACTTTTAGTGAACAGAAATTGACTATTAAGGACCATTTTTCCCTTCGCTAAAGGGCGTTTTTCTTGTAGTGATTATGGGATGCAAAAAAATGTCCATTCTGCAAAATTCAACAAATGTAATCTAACATTAATACAGTAATTAAAAAAAATAGATATATTTATATTTTTTCTACAAAATAACTTCAATAATATACAATATAACAACAATGTTAAACATATCAACAAATCTACAATTAATCTTCAAAATTAAGACAAATAATCTCACATTAATTCAGTGCTTAAAAAACATAGATACATTTGCAATATATATACAATATTTCTACAAAAATCTACAAAGCAAAAAAAAAAAAAAACACAGATTATGTAGATTTTTAACAACTAAAACAGGCGACATAAGTAGTGAAGAAATTACTAAATTCTTACCTTCACCAATGAGTGTTTTCGAACATTTTTAGGAGATTTAACACTAGGTTTTTTTTTTTTTTTGAATTTTTCTTCTTTTTGGGAGTTTTTGAACTGGGAGTCACCTTAGCTTTCTTTCCAGGTTTACTGATAGGCACATCTTCTATAAAATCATCATCGAACACTATCTCTTTTCGTTTCCTATCCGCTTGTTTGATTGGCCTCAAAGATTCTCCAGCATCGAAATCATGTTTTTGTTTAGTTCTAGCTTCAGCCCTGATTTAACGCGGAGAAACACTATGCTTCATATATACAATTGCATGTGTAGATTTCCCTTGCTTTTTGGGTGAATGTTGTGATAATACACCGAAATCGAAAGAAGGTATATCAGCTTCTAGAGCTTTTTTAGGGCTATGCTTTGAATCTTTGTTCTTCTTCATTGAGAAAATTTGAAGCTGAAGGTAAATGTGTGTATGAACTTTGAAGATTTGACTTCAATTTTGACTGGTTGTAGAAGAAAAATCTTGATTTTGGACGTTAATGGTAGAGGGTTACAATTGCTTTTCTGGTTTTAGCAGAGGGAATAATGGTTTGAAACGTGGGTGTGGGGTGATACGTGGGTGAGGGTGTGGGTTTGGGAAAGACAAACGTANAGTTAAAACACCTTATGGTATAGAATTGGTAATTAGGCATACTAAATTTAATACTATCAAACCTTAAACATTGAGGGTAATATATTTCTTATATGACATAGGAATGTAAAAATTCCAAAGAAAAATTAGGGTCAGTGAAATGTTGGCCTCAGTTTCATTTCCCTTATTTCTTGTCTTTAAGAAAAATAAATAAAAATAAAAATAAAAAAATAAAAACCTTATTCCAATTATCCATATTGCAACTACAATATTATTCCTATGTGACGAAATGCACAAGAAGTTTAATATCATCAGTTTAACTACGGGTTGGGATATTACGTAGGCGTTTGGACAAAAACAAAGGTTATAATTTTTGAAAAAAAAAAGTAGTATTTGGAATTAAATTGAAGAATGGTATTTGAAATTGGAAATTATGTTTGGACATGCATTTCACTTAAAAAATATTGCAGTTTTGTGAGAGGAAAAAAAATTCTGAAAATTTTGAAAAAGTGGTTCTTATTTTCGATTTTTTCAAAAACTTTTAAAATTTTATGGACAAACACAGTTTTGAAACAGAAAAAAAATTGAAAAAAAGGAAAAAAAAAACTTATGAACAAATGGCTCCTACATTTATTCATCAAAAAAGTTATACGGTGTTAGGAAAATATAATGTCTTAATTATTCATTTCACAGTAATGACAATATTGCACAAATTATAGAAAAAGATAAGCTAGCTAGGCCCCAAACACGCAATTTAAGTCATAATCTTTATCCTTACTTTTTTGGGCGAGAGGTGATACGGTACCTTTCTTTGCTACAATATTATTCCCATGAGATGAAATGCACAAGAAGTTTAATATCACTAGTGTAACTTAGTGAACGGGATAATACGTAGGCGTTTGGACAGAAAAATAATAATTTTTTTGGGGAAAAAGTAGTATTTGGAGTTAAGCTAAAAAATAGTATTTGAAATTGGAAATTATGTTTGGACATGCATTTCACCTGAAAAAATATTGTAGTTTTGAGAGAAAAAAATTCTGAAAATTTTGATTTTGAAAAACTTTTTTTCGAAAAATTTCAAAAAACTTGTAAAATTTCATGGACAAACATATTTTTGAAGAAAATAAATTCGAAAAAAGGAAGAAAAAAAAATTTATGAACAAACGGCTCCTACATTTATTCATCAAAAAAGTTCTACGGTGTTAGAAAAGTATAATGTCTTAATTATTCATTTCATATTAATGACATTATTGCACAAATTAGTAAACGGAAAAGGGCCAAAAACGCCCATATCGTTTGGTAAATGGTTTATTTCAAAGCTCTGTCCATTTTTTGAATCTAAAAATACACTCGATGTTATTTTTCGGACAAAAAATACCCCGCGACTAACGGAAATTTCTGTGGTCCCCTTTTTAATGTGTTGGCAACATGTAATTGGGCCACGTTGCTCCCTTGTTCGGATCAAATATAACCCGTTCTAGATTTAAAGCCGCCCCAATTTATTGGAGCAACCCACTAAAGTTTTTCAACTTTAACCCAAGATCTTATTCCTTTCTCCTCCATTTCCATCACTTTTTCTAAATAACAAAAAATCAATGGCTAAATTTTTTTAAGCGGAGCTCCAAATTCTTGTTCCAGCCAAACTCTATATGAAGGTTCAACAATTAATTCTCAGCAACACCCAATCAATTTTGAGAACGAATTTTAAATTTGGAAGTCTTTTCAAACCAAGCTGCGAGGGATTCTTCAATAGTGGATTGTTTTACTCCAAGTGTTTCTTTTTTCTTTTTGAAATATTGGGTATTCACAAATAGTCTCCAAATCAAAGCATGAAAATTTCAACGAAGAGCTTTTCAAAGACCCATTTGGAGTAAAATTTTATTTTGATCTAAAAATGAGCTACTTCTTGTTAGAATTAGTTGGTTAATGTACTTTGAGCCTAAATACATCTATGCAAACTGATTTGAGATTGAGAACCTTGAAGAAGGAGTTGTAATTCCATTAAAACTCTTTTGAAACCTTGGTTTGAATTTGGGATTTTTTGAAATTGTAACTTATTTTGAATGTGTGTTATTAGATTTTGTTGGGGGACATCAATATGAGCTTAAATCTGAAATTTGAAGGAGTTTGGAATAGATTTGAAATGTATTTGGGTGAATTTTCAAAGCAAATTCAAAGGTTGAAGAACATGTTCAATCAAAAAACTTGGGGCAGGTCTAAATTTGGGGCGGGTAGAAATCAAGCCGGATTGGGGAGCCATATGGCCCAATTACGTGTTGCCAACACATTAAAAAAGGGATCACAGAAATTTTCGTTAGTCGCGGGGTACTTTTAGTCCAAAAGATAACGTCGAGTGTATTTTTGGACCAAAAAATGGATGGAGCTTTGAAGTAAACTATTTACACGATAGTGATATTTTTAGCCCTTTTCCGCTTAGAAAAAGACAAGTTAGCAAGACACCAAACACGCAATTATTTAATAAATATTATCTTTACTTTTTGGGGCGAGTACGGTACCTTTCTTTGCTACAAATAAGAAGAATTGCTATGAACAAAACATCAAATCAAATAGAACCAAACATCACACTATAATTAGTAGATCAAAGTATCGTTGGAGGAATTTATCTCAAAATGGAGTAGAAAAAGCTCATTCTTTCATTTTTTTTAAAGCAATTTGTCCTTTTAATGGAGTAGTAAAAGCAATAAAAAAGAATTATGCTCGCACACAAAAATTGCAGCGCAAGACAAAATGGGTCGATTTCCGGCTCTTATTCTATTCTTCGGTTTGAAATCACTCGTCACTTGAACTTAATTGTCTTGTTAAAAAAATAAGCCTTATATAATAGGAGTATAAATTTTATATATCATATTTAGTAATATTAATTCATTTAACTATTATATTCTCTATTGCTTACTCACATCAACATGTGATTATTAATCCAAAAACAACTCATGCAACAATAGCATCTTTTCAGTAGCGCACCAACCCAACATAAAAACACATCCGTAAAGTCTCCTCTTTTCCCTGCAAACTTGCTTCCTAATATATCTTTTCACTAGTCTTCTTATTCACAACATTGCACTATCCATTATGATCCTTGCGCGCGTATATATATATATAGAGAGATATTTTTTCCACCTGATGTCAGATATTGAGATCCGACTAAATTCGAATTCGCTCCGAATAATCTCACATTAGGGGTAAATTCGAATTCGCGCCGAATAATCTCACATTAGGGTAAGTCCTGGTACAATTTGTTACTAGTAAGTACTATTTACAATTTGTCCATGTACTATTTAAAATTGAACAGTTTATGTTAAACTTTTATTCTATTATTACTTCTGTCATTAGGAAAAAGTCTCGTTTATTCCCTAAACCCCCTAGTGGAGCTCCAAATTTAAATAGTAGTCACCGGTTAATTGTACCCGATTTGTAACGACCTGATCGGTCATTTTGAGCTCTAGCGCGTTGTTCGGCAGTTTGAGGCCATAAGCAGCTTCACTTCAGGTATTGTGACTTGTACATGTAGTCGGAATTGAATTTCGGGAAGTTCGGAGTTGATTTGGAAAGAAAATTCTCATTTCAGAAGCTTTAAGTCAGAAGAATTGACTAACGTTGAATTTTTGAGTAAACAACC